GGTGCAGTGTACAGATTGGTCAAAAAACAGTCAAACTAGCATCCACCAGGTGACTACAAGACAATAGTCTACTAGTAGCCTGGGCAGATAATATTGCCGGCAAAGACAAGCGTGACTGGAATGGCCATTAACGGTTTATCAACCGTCGTTAGCCGGTCATACCTCAGCCGAGCCTCGAACTCGCGAACTTTTTGAGCAGAGTCTAACGCCCTCACCATTGAGCCAAGAGCCCACTGTCTTGCCAGTTTATGTCGGAGGATACTGACACACTTTGACGAACGTTCACCGACCGCTAATGGAACTCATCTGTCCGGCTCTGCCTAGGGTCTCGACAGAAGCCCTGACAGCCGTATCACCTGGTAGTATAGGCAAATCGTATTGTTGGCAAAGACAAGGGAGAATGGAATGGCCATTTCTGGTCTACCAACCGTCATCAGCCAGTCATACCCGGACCCCTATAGTGACCCGCCAGGGCCCAGAACTCGCGACCTTCTTGATCAGAGCAAACGCCCTAACCATTGAACCCCGAGCTCGTTGTCTTGTTGGTTAAGGTGTGGGGAATTTGACACTCCCTGATGAACGTTCATCGACCGCTAACGGAAGTCATATGTACCGCTCTGTTTTGAGCCTCGACAGATGCCTTACAGACGTAACAGCTGGTATTATAGAGAGATAGTGTTGTCGTGAATGTGCTAGATTGTTGTCTAGAGTGGTGGCCTTCGCCTTTTCGCCCCTCGAGGCCACCGAGGTTTGCATAATTGAGTCAAATGTCTATCTCGAAATTATGATGACTACGAGAAAACCATCAGCCCGGCATATTGAAATGCACCAATTCTGGGCAGTGAACTGGTCAAGCAATCACCAGGTGATTACAATGGAGATATTATTGCCGACAATGACTAGGGAGACTGGAATAGCCATTTGTTGCTGTTTAGCCGTAGTCAGCCACTCATCCCTAGACCCAAGTGGTGCGCCACCCAAGCCTCGAAATTGCGACCTATTTGGGCAAAACCAAATGCCCTAACTGTCGGTGTCTTGCCAGTTGACGTCGGGGGATATTAGCCTTCGTTGATGAATGTTCACCGACCGCTAATGGAACTCATCTGTCCAGATTTGCTCTGGGGTATCGATGGACTCCCTGATAGCCATAGCAGCTGGTAGTATAGGCAGATAGTATTTCAGTGAGTTGATCAGAGTTTTGCCTGGTACGGGGAGCTTCCCCTTTTTGCCGTAGGGTTGAAGACAATGCTGACAGCAGAATAAGTACGAGAAAACTGTCTGCTATAACAGCGTTAGGATGCCAGATTTTACAAAGCTTTGGAGTTAATCTCACTTATTTTCCTCCTCATACAGCCTGTTCTCCGCATTCCGATGGATTCTGTCGTTCAAACCATCGACACGGTGCTGGAGGGTCGTTACGTCGCTACTGGTTGTGCTAGTGGCTCCATTACCATCAGCGGCCTCGCTTGAAAACCAAGCACATCAAACAAGTGGTACCAAAGAAGATGTTTAGTCCACCGCTTGGTTGATAGACAACGCTTTTCGATCTTCTACACCTCTTCCGTACAAGGTTTCTCCCTACGTCAGGATGTGTTAATTTCCCGATTAAACAATGTTGCTGCTTTCACCCTATTCTTCCGCTCAGTTCTCTCTTCTTCACATTTAGGACCTACACGCAATTCCAGTCAATAAAACTAAAAAGTTTGATGTAAGTATGCGTCTGGTGTCTTGCCTAACGGTTTATGTACACCTTAAGAAAAACAAAGAGCACCTTTCCAAATCAAGTAATCCAGTTACTTGCCCAACAACAAGAAGAATAAAGAATTATGTAAATTGTTATGTGCTTCTAGTACTATGCTCATTCAAAAGAAAATGGGGGATCATATTACGTACGGATCCCGCTAGTACTATTTAACCTCAGATTCATATCCCCGTGAGGGGAGAAACAACACTTTTTTGAGAGCTTCGGACTACGAGGTATGACTAACTGACCATACATCATGCCTTAACTAGGACATCGTCTGAAAATTGGAACCAGGGTCCGAGTGTTCACAAGCTGATTTAACAAAATCGGTAGCTTGAAAATTTACGCATTTTCGAGTTCATCAACCGTAAAAAGCTTACTTTTCGGAGAATTTAACCATGTGCTTTTATCCATTGCAAATACGAGTTTAATATCGGAAGTTGGTGCGTTAAGCATGACTTTGCTGGCCGTCTAAACAGAGCATTGGGAGAATACATGCGGTTTTGCGCTTTCCGGAGAAATTCGAGTTAGGGTCAAGTTAAGGGTCCGGGTTAGGGTTAGGCCTATGTTTAAGCTTGGGGTAAATTTAGAGTCGGCGTTAGGATCAAGATTGTGTGAAGGACTAAGGGTTGGGTTCATGTTAACTGTCGGGTTTTGGGTAAGGGTATGAGTAGGCTTACGATTAGGTTTCCAGTTTAAAGTAAGGGCTAAGGCACAGAATTCTTTACCCTAATGCGTTTATTGCAGTACCAGGTAGCTGAACAAGACGGAAAAGTTCCTGTTTAACCGGTAATTCAAATCGTTCTTACCGTCTGTGACTCCGTTGTTGAGATTTTGATGTAATTTTCCGTGCCTTGCATCCGAAGTGCCTGACCTGAGCTCAGGTAATAATTGGTTAGTGGTGACAAGTCAATCTGCTACTGACCGTATACCTTAACGATTTGGGGCAAATGACCATGTTAACACCCTAAGATCCGATTATTCAGAATGTACAGCAAGTCAGAACCCTCTATGTTCCATAATGTAAGAATATAAATTTCGGGAGCTCCCTTGCTAGGGGTCCATCATATTTACTTGCCTGCCCGCTGTTGGATTTAGAAGTGAGATACGCTGAGTATTCCATCTCCAATGGTTTGGCTTATCATCTGCGTAATTTGAGCCCCTGCCGTTTATCACTCAATGAATAGTCCTACACATAAAACGTATTGGTTCGCTGCTGGAACCGGCTGGCGGGGTATAGACAATAAACAAATATTTCTTTAAGTTCTGCGCATATTCCCATGCTTATTTTGAGAATTTAATTTGACAAAAAAGCGTTTTCAGCAAACCTTAATCAGGTCAAGAACATTTGCAGGGGTAATGAAAACTGTACAGATGCAGAGGGTTAATGAGGGATATCTGATTACAACTCATCGTTTACACACCACCCGAATAGCGAGGTCGACGTGTACAAGTTCCTGTATTGGGGGAAGAGGGGAAAGGGGAGAGGGAAGAGAATTGGGTTAGGCTGTGGGCGTTGGTCAGAGGGCAGATACATGGAGCGATAATTTCTGCTATTTGCACGAAGCGAACGACGGTCACTAAGGCGTGGTGGCGAAATGCGATCGCCAACTGGCGTCGGGGTCGGCCGCTGACGTGCAAGGGCTTGTTTCAACGTTTGCTGACAACACAGCAGTGAATTCGCTAGCCGTATAGCCACTGCTTCTGCTGTTGCAAGCACCCCTTGGCGTAGGCTCTTGAAAAAGTTAGCA